ATATTAGGATTCGAAATGAGTTCTAAATGGGACATGACAGCGGCATAATTTATGATTGACAAGACATATATGTGTATATATGTTTTGGTTGACAAATTTTGACATAAGTTCTAAATGGGACATGACAGCGGCATAATTTATGATTCGAAAACCGAAGCATCAAAAGTGAGTGTGCTAAATATTGGAAATTTTAATATAAACATACTACAAACTCGGTTACAAAATATTTAGAAGATCCAAAATGATTTAAACATATAAATTATAAAATAAATCTCTCCGGCCAACGGGCCGGGTAAAAGGCTAGTTGTTTATAACTGAGAAAGTATATATATGAAAACAAGACAACAAAGAATGAGCATTGATGTACCACAATGATTAATTTTAAAGCTCGTGTACCAAAATGACCAAATTGGTGAAATTAAATGGCCAAATTAACCTTGAAGCAAGATTAAAAAAATAATAATGCAAAGTGAAACTTAACGGATTAAGGAGTTACTTTTGGGGACCATTGACCCACTAAACGTGTTTATGGAATCTGGAGTGTAATCAATACCACGTAGATCATCTTTTAATTGTTTCACCTTACATCACTAAAAAAACCCCTATCTCTATCTTATTTTAAAGGGGGAACTTATCTGTTGCTACTATCACCATTATTATTTAATTTTAGCTTGTGATTAGCTTGGTGATGAACCCAAAGTTCAAACCAATAAACAAATAATTAATGAATTTTTATGCAAGCATATTATCATTTACGCAAAAGCATCTGATAATCTTGAACCGATTTTTTTTTTAAAAAATGAAACCTTTCTTCTTTTTTTTTTGGGTAGGAAGACGGACGTCATGCGTCCTAATTCATAACATTAATAGAACGATCCATGGAGATGGCCATGGAGTCATACATCAACTAGTTACAAAAACTAGGATCGTACACATCGAATGGATGTTTACCAAAATTGGCCGAATGACCCTTGCTTGCCGAGAAGTCGGCAGCATAATTACTTTCTCTATATACATGGGACACCTTGACATCCCATTCAAAATCCAACAGAATTCCAATACGTGCAGCTATGAGCCCATAACGATGATCCGTGTCTTTGTTGTTCTTCATGATACTGATCGCCGTCATAGAGTCGAGGTTGAGCTCGACCTTCCGGTACCCTTTGTCCCACGCTCTTTGTAATCCAATTTCAGCGCCTTTCAGTTCGGCCATGGTGATCGTGCAGTTCCCTAAGTTACAGATGAAAGCGTCAAGACACCTGCCGAGATGATCACGAATGAGCCCTCCCGCCGCCGCCTTCCCTGAACTTTGAAGAACTGATCCGTCAGTTTGGATTTGGATCCAGTTCTCCCTTGGTGGCTTCCACGTAATGGGGGTGGAGATGAGCTGACTTCTTGGTGCCAGAATGCTCCTCTCCTCGTTAAACTTTGCTTGCTGATACACTCGAATCCAGGAGACAATCTTGCTAATGAGCCCTGGTTCGGAGAACTTTTTCCCATCCAAAGTCTCCTCATTTCTTTGCTTCCAAATCATCCAACACATGATACCGAATTCAATTCCTTTCTCAGCATCATTCAGGTTCTCCATCATCCACTGTATGAAATTTCTTGTGTCATGGACATATTGTCCGATTCTGAAGAAATGTCTGACTCCCTCTGTTTTTTTGCACTTCCTCAGGATGTGCTCTATTGTTTCCAGACCATCGTTGCAGGCCTTGCAGCTGCCATCATTTGTCAGCTTTCTAATCGTTCTTTCGTGGTTGGTGAGCAGCCTGTTGTGCATGACCAGCCAGAGGAAGTGCTTCACTCTGCTTGGTCCACTCCACTTCCACAGCTCCTTCCAGCCCTGATCTTCCGTCTTGTCGATCTCATTCGCAACAAGCAGGTAGGCCGATTTGAGCCTGAATCGCCCGTCCTGTTCAAGTCCCCAGATAGTGGTGTCCTCCCCCAATCCATGTTTGGGAGTTTCCATCCCTACAATGCGAGACAGCCAAACATTAGGGAGAAGAGAGTTAAGCTTTGTCCAATCCCACTCACCTTGTTCATTCACCATATCAGCAACTAAGGTAAGTTTCTCATCATTAGTCAGGGTTCTGAGGCAGTGTTCCTCCAGTATTGTGTCTTGATCAATCCAGGGGTGGTTCCAAAACTCAGTTGTCTGCCCATCCCTGATACTCCAGACAGTAGCTTTTTGCATCAGAGGGTAGGCTTTGAGAATGCCTCTCCACAGGCTGGATTGGACACTTTTCTTCATTCCAGTGATTCTCCCTTCACGATGATGAAAGTACTTCCCCTGCATCACCTTAACCCAAAGCTCATCCTTGCTGTTGAGAATTGTCCATGCCAATTTCGCCATGTATGCAAGGTTGAGACTTCGGGCCGATTTAAGTCCCAATCCTCCTTGCTGCTTCGGTCTGCAAATCTTCTCCCACGAGACCAGGTGGACCTTCCTTTTTCCTTCCTGGGAACCCCACACAAACCGTCTAATCCTGCGATCAATTTCATCACACACAGAAACAGGGAGCAAAGAAGTTTGCATAGCATAGGAAGGAATTGCATTAAGAACAGACAAAGCAAGGGTAACCCTCCCAGCAAGAGAAAGGGTTTTAGCTTTCCAGGCTGAAAGTTTTCTATCAATCTTCTCCAAGATGTATTTGAACGTGTTCTTGGAGATTCTTCCATGGAGGACAGGTACTCCCAGGTACCTTCCCAGGTCTGCTGTCTCTTGAATTTCCAGTCTGTGGCGAATCTCCCTTCTGTTTGGGCATTTGACATTCTTGGAGAAGAAGATTCTCGACTTCTCTTTGCTGATCATCTCTCCTGAGGCCGAGCAGAAAGCATCCAAGCAGTCCATCACAACATCAGCCTGTCTCGAACTAGCCTCAGCAAGGAGCACCAGGTCATCTGCAAAAAAAAGGTGAGAAAGAGGAGGTCCCCCTGGTGACAGCTGCACAGGTTTCCATCTCTTATCCCTAACAGCACTCTCGATGCAGTGGCTGAGCCGCTCAACACAAAGGGTGAACAGGTAGGGCGAGAGTGGACATCCTTGGCGAAGTCCTCTGCTAGGCACAATGCATTCAGATTCACCCCCATTCCATAGCACCTGCAACTGAGTGGAAGACACACATTGCATAACAATAGAAACAAAATGGGAAGGGAATCCAGCAAGGGTTAGAGTTTGCTCCAGGAATGCCCAATCAATTCGATCTATGCTTTTGCAAGGTCGATCTTCATGAGCATCAGTCCCTTCTTCCCTGTTTTTCTGGCCATCGTATGAACCGTTTCCTGCAAAATCAGAATATTATCCGTAATGTGACGCTTAGGAACAAAGCTTGTTTGATTTGGTTTAACAAGGCTTGGCATCAATCCTTTGATCCTATCCGCCAGGCACTTGACCACTGTTTTGTAGCCAACGTTGCATAAGCTAATAGGCCTGAAATCACTCATAGAAACAGGGGAATCTTTCTTGGGAATGAGCACCAGCAGAGTCTCATTGATGGATCTGATTCGGAAATGGTTCATGAAACAGTCCTGGATGAATCTGCAGAAGTCATTTCCCACATTGTCCCAACACTTCTGGAAAAAGAGGGCGTGGAAACCATCTTTTCCAGGGGCCTTCAGGCCGTTCATCTCATTGATGATGGTTCTAATTTCTTCATTAGAGGGAGGGGCACTTAATCCGGAAAGACGACGATGGTCAATCTCAGGAAACAGGCAGGGGATGGAAGGGGGTTCTTGTTGCTCATCCTTCTTGAAAAGATTACAGTAGAACTCCCTTGCCATTTCCAGAAGAGCTTCAGGATCAGTGACCCAAATGCCCTCATCCGATTTGAGGCAAGTAATTCTGTTTCTTTTCCTTCTGGTAAGAGCACTTGTGTGGAAGAAACGTGTGTTGAGATCCCCAAACAACATCCAATTTGCACGTGATTTCTGCATCCACAGGATCTCCTCCTGCCAGATGGTTTCTTCAAGCTCTTCTCTGATGCGTTGTTCCAACTCGAGCGAGCTTCTGCTTTGTGAGGTCTCATTATACTTCTCAATGTTTTGGAGGCGGTTCGAAAGATGTCTTTTTCTTTTGAAGATGTTTCCAAAAATTTCCTTGTTCCACTCCCGAAGCTTTTCTGCCAAGGCCTGCAAGGACACTGGGAACTCAGAGCATCCATTCCAGGAGCAAGCAAGGAACGGAAAGAAATCAGGATGGGCAAGCCATGGTGCAAGAAATTGGAAGCGTCTCACCAGTTTTGCTTTGTTTTTATGCTCCTCATTACATGTGAGAATTGGTCTGTGATCGGATTTGAGCTTGATCAGGTGTTGGGTTGAAGAAGCAGGAAAGTGTTGGATCCATTCCAAATTACAGAGACTACGATCCAGTCTTTCTCTGATCCTAGACATCTTGGTAAACCAGGTAAACTTTGGTCCTGAGAAACCAAGATCAACCAACCCACAGTCATTGATGCACTCATTGAAGTCTTTGGCTTTAGCTTGGTTGAAAGGAGCTCCACCCATCTTTTCGGATGGTCCAGTGATTGAATTGAAGTCACCAGTCAGCAGCCAAGGAATCTTAGTTCTTCTGCCAATGTTCCTAAGATCCTGCCATAAATCTTTGTGGTCGTGATCATTAGGGCTAGCATAGATAGTTGTGATCACTCCCATTACCTTGTTTCCATTGTAGTATCGAAGATGAATAAATTGTCTCTTGCACTCAATGAGTTCCAGTGTAAGCTGTTTGCTATCCCATAGAACCCAGATGCCACCACTGAAGCCAACAGCTTCAGAGATTTCCCAAGCGTCAAAACCAAGAGTTTTGATAACATCCAAAGCCTCCTTCCCGCTAATTCTTGGTTCGAGAATGCAAACCACATTAGGCGAGTTAGTAGCTCTGTACAAATCCAAAGTAGACTTAAACTTCTGGTGCTTTGCACCCCTACAGTTCCAGGAGAGGATCCTAATCATCAAAATGACAAAGGGAAGGGCTCCTGATCACTCCCAGAGAGTGGAAATCATTTCAAATCAATGGCCATAGCCATTGATCCATTCTCGTTCTTACTTGCTCCCTTGTTCTGGGTTTTAGAGTAAGAATTCTGTTTCTTCTCAGTGGCCTCCTCAATGTGACCAAACGTGATTTTCCTAGACGAGTTGTTACCTTCATTCTGATGATCATTGGCCGTTCTCTGGGTCTGGCAGTCTTGGTGTGATTTTGGTACATTGTGCTTAGCCTTATCACCCTTAATTGCCTCATCAGGTGGCTTCTTAACTTTAGTCACACCCTTCTGCCTGGGCGAAGACAACAACATCCTCCCCTGGTTCGGATCAGTGCTGGTATCTCCGTTCCTCTTCTTGTCTCCACTTCCTTGTTTAGGGGTTGTGGATAAGGATGAGGTGGTCGAAGTTGTGGCTTCGGTTGTTTTGGTTGGGGGGAGGGAAGCTTCTGGGGACGCCTTCTGGTTTTCCTTCCTTGTTTTGTTACTCTGCTTCTGATTGCCTTCTTGCGGTGTCCGATGTTGCTTAGGGTTCTCTTCATCTTTATCATTTTTGGACTTCTCTTTTGGTGTCTTTTTCGCTTGTTTCACTTGTGTCTTTCCTTGTGTTCTGGACACTGAACTCTGTTCTTGCTGGATTGTTGTTTCTGTTTCTGCTTCTGCTTCCTCCACGTCCTCCATTGTCTCTGTTTCTTCTGCTTCCTCGTCCAGTAGAGAGTTGAACCGGGAACCACCGACCTGCTCATCAGTTTTTCGATTGTCACCTCCTTTCGATTCAACATTTGGCTGCTTCCTCGGTGTTTGTTTTCTTCGTCTGCTCCTGGTTGCCAGCATCCATGGTCCAAAATCCTCAAGTATCTCAGGCCTAATCTCCTGTTCTTTCTCCTGTTCTTCTTTTCTCCCTTTTTGTTGATCTTCCCCTGTTTTGTTCTCACGGCACGCCTCCTCCTGATGTCCGAATTTGCCACAAGAAAAACAGACTGTGTGAAGCCCTTCGTATTCAATCCTTCTCACCCTTCGCTTGATTCTGTATTTTGAGACAAGTTTTTTCCTGAGATCAATCTCGACACAGATCCGCGCATAGTTTCCTCTAACCCCGTTAGCTGTGTTGAAGTCGATTTTCTCCATTCTTCCAATCTTGTTTCCAATGTCGGTGAGAATTTCCTGGTCGAAATAAGCGAGTGGGAGTCTTGGGAGCCTTACCCACACCGACGTTCTCTCAATGGTGTCGAAGTCAGGGTCAAAGTCGATCCGCCATGGTTCCGAGACGATGTAGTAATCGTCGACCGTCCATGGTCCTCCATACAACGCTCTGTCTCTATCCAGCTGTGAGTCGAAGGCGGCTTGGAAGTAGCCATTCCCAACATCGCTAACACGAATCCCCCCGGTACGGGCCCAAAGCTTTTGGATTCTTCGTTGGATGAACAAAAACGGGAAGGATTTCCCCAGAATTCGGAATGTGACCGCCCGTTGAAACTTCTGACGAATTTTTGCATCGGTGCGCTTCTTGATTCTTATCGTTGGACATTCGGGGTCGTCTTCTGCATCTTCTTTATCTGACTCGTCGGACATAAGGTCGTCGCCTTCTGGGATGTCAATCGGCGGCCCATTGCCGAGCATTCGATCTTTGTACGTACCTGTGATTCCCTTCGATGGGCTGCCATTTTTGCTGGGAGGGATCGTGTGTGTTCTCCCCTGTTCCGTCATGGTTGCGTCGTCGTCGGAGTGCTCCGGCTCTGCCACCGCCGTCACCACTGCCATTTCTGTATCATTCTGTCCCGCAGGTTCTCCATTGGATGTGGACTTTGACTTCTTGGTTGGTTGGACGGGGGATCCAGATGGGGAATCCGGTGGTTCCCTGTTGCGAGCGGCGGTCGTTTCCGTTGGAGGCATAGCCCCAACGGTCAGAAAGAATGAAAAAACCAGGAGAGAGGGCGGAGGAACTTCTCTCTAAAACCTCTCTCTAACTTTCCCTTTACATTGGTTATTGAAAGAATAGTTTTAAATTGAAGAAGAATTCGATGATTTCCATCGACTTAGTAATTACCAAGAGTCCAAGAATAAGTTAGATTTTAGTAATATAGGAAGCACACAAGAATGAACTTTGCATCATTACTTTATGGGGTCGTTTGGTAGTTGTGATTGTTAGAGTTTTGTTTATTGAATACATGCATTGTGCACAATACAATGTTTGGAAGTGCCAAAATGTAAAACAATGCATGTATTGTTTCAGGTAGGTCCCACCAACAATCACAAAAAATCATGCATTATACAATCTTAACTAAAAGTTGAGATTGTTGTGGTTGTTGATTTTAGATTTGTGTCTATTTTTTCTTTTTATTTATATCCCTATTAGTTTTTGTCTTATACTAAAAATTGAGGATAAATGTGACATTTCCCCATAAAGTAACTTTATGCAAGTCAATACATAAAGTAGAATCTCAACAACCAAACAATATATTATTGCAATGCATCCATTGTACCAATACATGTATTTATTTTGTTGTGATTCATTACAATTCAACGATTTAACATTCGCAACTTCCAAACGACCCCTATATGTCTATACATTGTCAGACATCTTGACACAAAGGAATCAGACGCATATCAACAACTTTCGTTCTCGTGCCGGCTTTGACAAACCAAATTATTTGAATCAAACTACGGGTAACATGAATAGAATGCCCGACTGTATTATTTCTACGGGTTTGTCAGGTATAGAAATCGAGATTTTCATCTTTGACGAATTTTTCTCATACGAAAAAAATATTGTTCAGTCACAGTGAAGATTATTAGTCCTTGTTGAAGGAAAGTCAAAATTGACAAGTAGCCTTCATTGCCGCGACTTGATACTCGATCTTTTCACAAGCTGATTAGTAAATTTGTTTGTAGTGCATCAATGGATGACATAAGAACTAATCCTTTCATAATTTATTTAAGTATTAATTAAAAGTGACTCTCTAAAAAATGGAACCTTATCATCTGAGATCATGACACAAAAGATATCCCCTAACGTATATCCAAAGGACCAAGCTGTGGGCATTAGTTTAATAAATAAGTGATTTATTTTTTTTAACTTTTTGGTACACATTAAATATAATCTGGAGTAAAGGGCTGTTAAAGATAAAAACCCATAGTAATCTTATCTGAATCTCCCCTCCCAATTGATTCCTATCTTTAACGCTAAACAAGATTAGTGCATACCCATCACAGAAAGCTCTATCAACTAATCTGTTGTTAGATTCTTAATTATCTAGAAAATTAAAGCTGGATTAGTACTATGAGAGGTTTCAAGATATTAGTTGACAATTAACACGATAGTCCTTCTAGTTTTGGATCTGGTCATTTGGTCCTTGCACATATAGGAGAGTTCTAAATAAGCATTTTGTTACGAAAGTGCTTTAAAGTACAGAACGTAGCGGCTATCACCATATATATCAGTAATACAATAGTTCCACCAGCGATTCTAGAGGTTGGCAAGTCATTGTCTTAAAAATCTATAGAGAGGGCAACAAGTGCACACATTACCTTACATATAGATATGGAAATGATCTTTCACTGGGATCGCATTGTAATTTTATGCTAGACCTTACGTTTAAAGTTAAAACCATGAATTAATACGGTTGCTTAGGACTCTTCGAAATAATGGATGTCAATCTGAATTGAGTCGCGTGATCTGAAACGCCATGACCTATTTGGAGCATGTATTACACACTATCCGTAGTAGCGCGAGGCAGGTCATGGATACTACTTTGATCCTACCCAGCTCTCGACCCAATCTACCTTAATTAGAATCAATACATTATTATATATTTCTCATCTTTCAACTTTTCTTAAATTAAAAATTCACCCCCAGTAAACATTTGAACAACACTCCATCTATCAATTAATTAGATTATATTATTCGACCAACTGCATATATTTTTCAATTATAAAACATTTTCTCTAGTAAAGTTGAAGTTCTGCGTAACTTTTCTTCACATACATGTGGGAATGGGCCGACTTGTCATGTCCCGTACCCGCGAAAGTATTGATTTGAGATACTCATCCCACACTGCCTTATTACTATCACTATTTTGAAGTCCTGCCAATTATGAGTGAGGGATAACGATGTGTTCATCGTATTGGCATATGTTTTTGTCATGGACCAAATTTGTGCGTGGTTCGAAATTAGAGGAGCTAAACATTCAGTACTTAAACAGAACGTTAGGTCTCTAAGAGTAATTGGACTAAAACTTTAATAACGTATATCGGATAAGCTAGCAAAATGAAAAACCTTCCAATAAGCATCCAAACTACAGATTTTGTTGTGTGATCTCGTCACCACTACTAAACGTGCAAAACATTGCTATCCACTTTTCGAGTTTTCACTATCAGGCTGACATGGCGGCGAAGAGCTAACGTCGGCCGGTGGTTGTATGACGTGGCATAGTCATCTGAAGTAACATGTTTAAATATTAAAATAAGTCATCCCTAACAGAGAAAAGGTCAGCGAGGACGTAAATGGACATTACCCAATCACCAACAACGAAAGAAATTAAGTACCGAAAGTGGCTGATGATCATATTGGAACTGATAAGATAGAACGAGTTTAATGCCTCTTTTTACTGCTTTTTTGTTACCCAAATATTGTTGTTACTTACTTTACCATGTATTTCTCTAACTGATCTATACTATCAGTCATATGAACTATTTTTTTTTCCTTTGTATAAATTGTTGCATGACAATGACGAAAGTACAAGAAAATTTTCGGAATTTTCACGGTATCTGAGGTTTTACGCCTCATGACAATATGATCTCATGTTCTTCCCTTCTACTTATTCCGTCTCTTTTTTAATAGCCAAATTGATCAGTCACGCATTCTTCTTTCTTTTTCTGCTAACTCGGATTCAACTGACCCTCCTTGTCTCCTCGGCGACTCCTCCTTCTCGAACAGTATCCAGTCCTCCTCATATTGTCTTTGAAATTAGACCCCACTAATTATCTCCTCTGGAAACTGCAACTTCTTCCTCTCATCACCAACTACGACCTAGACAAATACATCGACGACTCGTTTCCTACTACATCTCGTTATATCGGTGGGATTCTTAGTTTCTAGAGGAGATAATTGGTAGGGGTTAATTTCAAAGGAATATGAGGAGGGTGTTTCGGAAGGAGGAGTTGATGAGGAGATGGGAGGGCCAAATGGATTTGAGGTGGCAAAAGAAAAAGAATTGTCATTCAACATGACTATCAAGAAAGATACGGGAAGAAGAAAGGAGTAGAAGGGAAGATCGAGAGATTATATTGGTGTGAGGCATTAAGGCTCTGATACCATGAAAGTTCAGAGAATTTTTTTTGTACTTATATTGGTGTGTATAACAGAAAGCAGCAAAAGATGTAGTACCTCAGGCCTGAGTCTGCCTCATCAATTTTCACAAACCACATTTGTGGTGGATTGGGACACTGAGTTCTTTATAAAATCTCTTACAGTATGAAAGATAATATGTGTTCAGTCGTTTAACTGACGATTTTTGCTTTTCGAATGAAGTATTTATTCAATTTGGATTGGTGTGGTGTTGTGCAGGTCAGACTTGTAAGTATTGCCCGAGAAGAGAGATGTGGTGCAAACATGTGGTGAAATATTAAGGTCAGTGACATGTGCTTAATCTTGCTAATGAGGTGCAAGCAAAAGGACCCTAAAGCCGCAAATATGAATTCCTAGATAGACAATGGTATAATTGTGTATCGAATTGCAGTGAACTTTTTTTTTTTTTTGCCAAAGATATTAATTAAGGAAGAGCCGTTGGTCGACCAACCGACAAGTCAACGATGAGAGGGTTTGTTTCGCCACGAGATGGGCAACCATATTATACTTACGCTGGGTGAAGTGGAACGATGAAGCTTAATAGAGGCTCAAAGGATCTGAACTTCAGAAAGAATGCTGCCAGCAATTGCGTAGACGAGTCCTTGCGATTTATCATTTGTATGATCACCTGCTCATCACCACAATAGGAGACATCAGAGATCAAAAAAGATGTCTCAAACAACAACCGCAATTAAGTATAAGTGGGTTTTGACGAGGGATAATCAAATTCCAGCGCATGATAATATTGGAAAAACATATATAATCAAAATCTAAGAGAATTAACAAAAGAATCGTAAGCAGTTAGTGCTAGATAGATAGTCATTAGTCACTTGCTTTTGCTTTTTGGAGAATACTAGGGATTTTTTTTTGGGTACTGACATATACACGCAGATGCTCTAAATTCGAAATCCAGCCGCCCTCGTGACTGAATTCGTTTGGCTGCTCTAAGATCAGGCGGCCTAATTAAGGGCGTCTTTTAGCAATCGAGTGTGATCAGCGACTGGTAGTGACATATATATTTTAATTAGTGGTAATCACTATTTTCTTAATTGTATATGGAGCCTGAGTTATCTGTTACTAGATCATCTCAACCACTGAAAGCCAACCAAATTAATCCATTGTTGGGAAGGATTGCAACCCAATGAGGTTAGAGCAATATACTCGACCGAAATAAGAGGAAATATTAGATAAAATCATTGACTACAGATGGAAGTAAGAAAAGTATTAGCTGAAGGTAATGTATATACCTCTATTGCGGGAATAAGTTGTTCTTTCTTAAGGAAAAATGGGAATATAGTTGATTTTCTGATTGATAAACCAAAAGGTTGCTTTGTGATAGATTAAGATTATTTTTAGTGAGACCTTTTGTTTCCCTCCTAATGAGATGTAACGCGTCATGCAAATTTCATATAGAAAAAGTACGTAAGAGATTCATGATTCATTCGAAAGAATTAAACTTTGTTGGGATGGAATGATGGAGGTATTGTAAGAACTCTAAAAATTAATTAAACGTGTTCAAATTGGAGCAGTGCACAGATGGTATGAC